ATGGTGTTTAAATCCAGGGGCTAAAGTTTAGGGATGTTACATCAGGTGTCACGTAAATGTGTTATATGTGAGTGTTCGGATAGTAATAATAAAACAAATTACAGAAGTCCTCAGGAATCCACGAGACGAATTTATTAAGCCTAATAAATCCGTCATTAGCACAGGGTTAGTGTGTAGCACCACATTGTCAAATCATAAACTAATTAGGCTTAAAAAATTTATCTCATAAATTAGTAACAATCTATGTAATTAGTTATTTTTTATTCTATATTTAATATTTCATACATGTGTCCAAATATCCGATATAATAGAGACTAAACCTTATGAGAGAAAACCTTTGCACAGCTGCACACAGCAGGGACCGACACATGGGGCCATGCATCTGGCCATTTGTCTACGTGAGCTAGCTTCCGTATAGTCAACGAATAGTGGCCAACTTGGTGCTGGCCTGGGAGCGCTCCAGCCTCCATGGACCAAGGATCTTAGCCAGCGTTGCTTGTAAGCAGACTTAACCAACCGTCTTGATGTTTGCCATGGCCGGCAACTTGGGTGCTGTAGTTCCTGTAAAGCGTGAAAACTACGGTAAATTTATTGCCCCTTCGTTCAGAAAAAGAGAACTACGGTAAAATTTGGACCTTCAAAAGACCGGCCGGAGGACTGTAATCTTGACCCGAAAGAACGCGACCTCATCTGAACAATGACCATCCGCGGACCAAGCTCATCAGGTCGGCACTGTTGAGCAAGCCAGCGGGTACCTCTTGGCATTTTTGAGCTTTCATCATCAACAAACGGATAAAGAAGAGTTAGCTATATATGCACCTTTCCGGCCTTTGTTTTAGAAGGCACAGGTACTGTCACGGCGCCATTCATCAAATTAAGATAGTGGGACGGCTTTTTGCATCTTTAGTCAATGCAGCGTAGGTATATATTTATATATTCATGTGTGTATAAAAGGATTATTAAGGCAGAGGAATGACTATTTATGAACACAAGTTTGGATAGGAATCTTGGAAAAAGAGCATGAGAATCTTGAAGGTCTTGGGTTCAATTAATTTCTCGTGGCCAGGGTTGGAGATTTTCGCGACCTTCAAGGTTGAGTGCTTCTACCTCAGTTAATAATAATGCCCTGAGGAGGGCATATTAATTATCCCCAGCGGGTCGAGTTTTTTCTCCAAAGGAATTCAGGAGGAAAATAGACATAAATCAACCTAGCTCATTTTGTTTCCTTTGTTTCTTAGCATTTAGCTCATTTTTCCTATGTATGCTACTCCCTATGTTCCAAATTATAAAGCATTTTGACTTTTTTCTAGATACACAAATTTTGCTATGCACTTAGATATATACTATGTCTAGAAATATAAAAATAATGCATCTAAAAAATCAAAATGCCTTATGTTTTGGAACGGAGAGAGTATATCCCAATGTTTCTTCTTAACCTTTCCTGTGTTCAATTACTATAGTATTTTTTTTTAAATACTACATCTGTTTTCCCTACTCCTTCGTTTAGATAATCTAAGTTCTAGATTACCTAGGACCCAGTATTCCAGTCATGTTTTTTCATATTCCGACCTTTTTATTGAAATAATGTGTTCCAAAGGTGGTCCGGCAAATAATGTGGTACTCCTTTGATCATAAATACTTGACACTTTGATCATAAATAATGTGGTGCTCCTTTGATCATAAATACATGGTCAAACTTTTCATACTTTACCCGCCAATGGTCATGGTATCTAGTTTGGAAACATAAAAAATACTCGCTCATTTTAAATTGTAAGTCATTTTGACTTTTCTAGATATATATTGTATATAGTTTTTAATTTACTATATACATAACGTATATCTAGGTACATATAGAAAAGCTATATATATAAAAAAAAAACTAAAACAATTTATAATTTGGAATAGATGGAGTATACATGTAAATTTTGTATTCTTCCTTTTCTTTTAATAAATACATGTTATCGCACGACGCTAAAAAAATGTGTACTCCACATGTTGGGAAGAGCAATCTCGTTTGATAACAACCTAGAACTTTTGATAGTGCAAATTGCTGCTGCTTAATAGGCAGTTGTTAGGCATAAGACAGGTGTATTTCTCTCTCGAACCATCGTCGCCCTATGAATGAAAGACTGAAAGTGACAACCTTAGGAGTACTAGGTACTTAGAATGACCAGAAAAGGGAGATGCCCGGTACTTAGTTTACGATAACTGCAACTTTAGAATGGCAAGGCTGCGGCCTGCGGGGGCTTTATATCTCGACATTGCCTATAAATAGCCTCCTGGAGTCGCCCATCCTCTCGCCAGCCTCGAGATCGATCTCGGCCTCTCAGCGTCTCGGGGACCTGGACCCCCCAAGTCCTGAATTGTAGGAATCTGAGGTCTGATGGACATCAGGAGGGAGTCCTCGGAGACCTCGAGGTAAGATGATAAGAGATGCTATTCTTTCTGCTTTCATTGATATGCGTACTGCAAATGGCCGTGCACTCAGACTGATTAAGTGCATGCATGGCATACTGCACCTGTCCCTTTGTGGGGACGACACTGCTCAAGATATCATCACAAGTCAGTTCAATAATCTATTATGTAAGGCTTGAAACATGCATGTCCATTTCTTGTAACCATATGATCCTGTCGGACTGCGGTTGCGAGAGCTAGTTGTTCATGCATGAAACTACTCGTGCAAGGATCAGCTTCGCCTCCTGCGTTCGATCCTATATATATGTTCCTGAAAGCTAGAATCCATACATCATGATCACAAACATATATATGAATGCGGGCCCTCATGCATGTCATGTCCATGTCCCCCATGATCATCAGGAACAAATGCGCAGCCAGCCTCAGGCAGTACAACAGGATGGAGCACCTGGTGGAGCACATGAAGGTCTCGTACCACTCGGTGCACGAGCCCAAGTGCGGCGTCTGCGGCAAGCACTGCCGCTCCTTCGAGTCGCTCAGGGAGCATCTCATCGGTATGCAGAAATAAAGTTCTGCCGAGAAGAAAAGACGGCAGCTTACAGGCTTACAGCCGAACAAGCGTGGTTTCAATTCTGACGCTTCTTCTTCACCATCTCCAGGGCCGTTGCCGAAGGTGGAGTGCGCGCGGGTCTTCAGCGTCCGCGGCTGCAGCATCTGCCTCAACATTTTCGACAGCAATGCCACCGTCAGATACCACCGTGCCGCCTGCCAATACTCTCGTGCTGCTCCGGTAATTATATCGACCTGTTGGTCTCTACCCTGTTCATTATTCATATGCTGTATACTTTAGTATACGTGAGCTAGCTTCCGTATACTCAGTTCACTTCAGAGCTCATCAGATGCATAGGCTTCGCTTTGTCTGTGGCTTTGGGCTTTGGTTGATACTATAGATTCTAATTTTTGTTTCACCGTCCTATGTGGTCCCAGCAGATGCCCAGGGGTGGCATAACCGGCCGTGTGGTTGCCCTGGCTTGCAAAATGGTAGGGGGAGGGAGTGACGGCTCAATGGACCTTTGTGCAAGGGTGTGCCTCATTGGAGAAGATGAGCACATCATCTTCCAGACCTATGTCAAACCTACACTTCCTGTCACCAACTACAGGTAATCCTACTTCTCATGCAGTTGCCATGCATCATGTTACTAATCTACTAGCAACTCTAGTCGATGGTTGAGGATAAATTGTGAGACCAGCAAAACCAGAAAGAAAGAGTCAGCAATAATTCAGGGAGTACCACTATATATATTTTTTGCGAACAAGGAGTACCACTATATATATGCTTGAAAGTTGAAACTGAACAGGGAAGATATTTGGAAGGACTAATTTTGTAACGACACGAACTGATGACTATATGTAACATGTTTTTCAGGTATGAAGTAACTGGGATAAGGCCAGAGTACTTGAGGGACGCAATGCCGCTTAAGGTTGCGCAGAGGAGAATCCAGGAAATCCTGTGCAACGGGGAGCCTCTGTGGAAGTTACGCCCAAGGAGCTATGGGAGGGCAAAGATCCTTGTTGGTCATGGCCTGGACCATGACCTTGAGCGCCTAGGGTTGGAGTACCCGGCATTCATGATTAGGTGAGGAGCAGAAAAAAAAATGTCACTGTATTTTTCTTTTCTTTATTCCTAACATCTATAGGTCTTTGCTTGCTGAGCTACGGTTCAGGAATCAGTTACCTTAGTTGTTTTGCCCTTTTGACAGAAATTGTTATGCATATGCAGGGATACTGCGAAATACCCACCACTAATGAAGACTAGCAAGCTGAGTAACTCCCTGAAGTACCTTACACAAGCGTACCTTGGGTATGTCACTGCTTGGATGATCTATGCAGTCAGCCTACTATTTAATATCTGCATAATGATGCTAAGGAGATTGCATCCTCTTGTAGGTATGATATCCATACTGGCATTCAGGACCCCTACGAGGACTCTGTTGCAGCAATGAGGCTGTACATCAGGATGAGATCACAAGCACACCCAAGAGAACAACTATCCAGCCTGGAGGCAGAGAGAGCTCGAGAGGATGAGCCCAGAAGAACTCCTGGCACTTTCAGCATCAGATTACTATTGCTGGTGCCTGGATTACTAAACTGACCGGCTATAAAGAAAATAAGGCAGGCCAACATTGTTGGTTCATTCATATTCCGTCTATGATAATAAATCTTTAGATGTACAAGTAGCTTGCGGCTTGACTATGTATTGGGGCTAATTATGACGTATAAACAAAGGATTCTATATACATGTAATGATGCTTTCGTATAAATATTGGTGTTTTAGATCTGTATAAGAAGTGATATTATGATTTATGATACATATCGGGGTTTTCATGCTTGCGTTTTTATGAATTCAAAAATGAGAAAAGCAGCAGCACATCTTGATTTATGATACATAAAGAGGGCGTGTATCTTCACAAAACGAATGGATGATTAATTGTAACATTTTGTGCAGCTTGTCAGACTATCTCAGTGCTATACAAGTATATCTACATTTTAGCCTCAGTACATCATTAGTATGCAAACCGGGCGATTCAAGTTTCTGAACTGTTGAAGAAAAGTCTTACACTGGAGTCGTTGGATTTCCGGTACTGCTTAGTTTCTGTGGGTGGATTCTTAGGTTTAGGCTCGGGTGTTTTTTCCTGCTTGCCGTTCTTTTTCTTGTCCTTGGACTGGCTCCTATTTAGCTTGATGAACTCAAGACACTGTCGAATGATTGTCAGCACCGTGAAATGAGTCTCAAAGTCGTTCTTGATGACAGGGGGGTGGTGGAGGTTGGGGCCATTGTTGCTCCAGGTGTAGTTCTCGATGAAGTAGACACAATCAGTTCTAGCCCTGAACGAAACCTCCCGTAGAAGCTCTTCAGCCTGCCTAATGGATCTCATGGCCTTCTTAAAAGTCAATACGATGATCAAATTAAGCCCTGTTAATAGATGTTAGTAACAATCAAATGCAGCCTTATTATAGGACATAAAAGCACACAGTTTAGGTTTTAAGTGAAAATCACAAACAGAAAGGTGGTCACATTGGAAGGTTTGCCAGCCAGGCTGGAGATGATCTGGCCTGGTGTCTCCGACCAGACCATTGCATTGGCAAGGAAGCGATGCGGCTCTGGGAAGAGAAGACGAACAAAAGATGGGGCGACCCAGCGTGTGATGTCTTGAAGATCTACAGACTACAGGACAGCCTTGGAGGACTGGAGGAGTGCATGTGCATTAACGAGCCTCTTTCACTATGTTTTTAGGTATTATCCCTTTCTACACATGCACAAGTTGCTCTTTTTATGTTATGGCCTAGAGGTGCTCCAAAACGTTGTGATGCCTGAACACGATGTATTGTTGACTTATAAGAATCACAAAGAATTTAATCCAAACGAATGAGGCGACACGTACGACTGAGGTCTACACTTGGACCGTGCACACAACATACAGTGTGTTGGATATACCTACGTCTTCTTTCTTCGGAACAACATACCGTGCACACAAAGAATTGTATGCTGTGATGCTATGCTAATGGGCAGAGGGGCATGGTCCCATAAACTCTAAAAAAAAAGAGGTTTTAACCGAAAAATCTCATCTATGAGAGATCTTTACTTTCTCTTGTGCAAATGCAAATCAAATTTCTATTGGTACGGACGAAATTAAACAAACAAAACGGCTCATGTTACTTGTAAATTTCACTATAGGTTGATTTTTTAATCGATAATCAAAAGGACACTTCCACAGAAAAATTAACAGCCTTCTACCTACACAAGGAGGTCTAAATCCATACACAGATGGATGATTGCAGTAATTGTTACTCTCTCCACTCCAAAATATATGTTGTTTTAATTTTGTCTTTAGCTTTGATCAAATTTATAGCAAAAATATAATATACCACAAAAATGCACTATCCAGATATATTTCGTGCTGAATTTAGTTAAACTAATTTGGTATTATAGATATTTGGGTATTTTTTCCATAAACCTATCAAAATTAAAAAGTATAACTCTGTCACAAAAACTAAAACAACCTAACGGATGGAAGAATGCTAAATCCAAGGTTCCAATGACGATTGTGTTGCTTGGGTTGGGCCTTTCTAGTAGACGGCCCAGTATAAATAAATGGCGCTACACGCAGAGCCCACGAGAAGTTATGTAAGCTGACCGACCTTTGTTTCGGGAGGATATTCCCTGATCGCAATGCCGTGTATGTCCCTAAAAAAGTTTAGTTTGGCCTCTAACGTCCCTGATCGCAATGCCCTATATGTCCCTAAAAAAGTTCAATGTCTTTCGCCCTTTGCTCCAACTTTTTCATGCCACTTCAGATTAGTTTGGCCTCTGCGTCACGATCGCAATGCCTCAGTCGTCACGATCGCAATGCCCTGTATGTCCCTAAAAAAGTTCAGCGGTCTTCAGCGCCACTGCTCCAACTTTTTCATGCCACTTCCGTCAGTTTGGCCTCTAACGTCGTCAAACTGTAGGTGTGAAAAGACGAAAATACCCTTAAGTCTAAATATGTCATTAATTTTTTTTGAGCATTTTAACGACTTCAAATGAAAAAACTCAAAACTAGAAAATTGTAGATCTCGTCGAGATCTATAATTTCTATATAAAATTATTTTATTTAATTTGCAAAAAAAAAATATGATTTTTCTAAGATATATTAATCATATCAAATCATATTTTTTACGGAATTAAATGAAAATAATTTTTATATGAAAATTATAGATCTCGGCGAGATCTACGACTTTTTAGTTTTGAGTTTTTTCATTGAAGTCGTTAAGATGCTCAAAAAATTAATGACATATTTTACTTAAGGGCATTTTAAATCTTTTCAAACTCGCAATTTGGCGTTAGAGCCCAAACTGACGGAAGTGGCATGGAGGGCACTGAAAAAAGTTGGAGCAAATGATGGCTGAAAACCTTGAACTTTTCAAGAGCACACAGGCATTGAGATCTTTCTTAATGGCACACATGGAATTGTCTCTTGTTTTACGGGCGACGTAAATCTCTGAGGCGCTTGATGGCGGCGTTCCGCTCCTTGGTGGGCGCGTCGCGGCCGTGAGCATACTAACGCACTCTAGATCCCCGCCGATGATGGCGGCGTCGATGTCCTCCTCGTCGGCCCTAACCGCCTCGGGGAGCCGCATGGCGTGTCAGCAGCTCCACCACGTCGCCCTCCCGCCCTCGCTGCCGCCGTCGCCGTCGGCCCGTCCACCACGGCCTTGACCCTCCGGCCCCTTTGCGTCGGTCCCCGCCCGGCGGCGGCGCCTCGCCGCGCGGCGGCAGAAGGCCGTCCTCGGCCGCCCGCCCGGCCCAAGACGCCGTGTTGACCAATGAGCTCTTGTCGTGGGCATAGAACCCCGTGATCAAGACGGACGGCGGTGGCGGGGAGGCGTCCTCCTTGGCGCCCTCGCCGTCGCTCCCGTCGCCACCGTCCTCGTCGTCGGCGGCAGCGCCCCGAGCACCTCGCGGATCTCCCGGCGGAGGGAGGCCACGGTGTCCTCCCTGCGGAGGCGCGCCGCGACAATGAGCGCCAGCGCCCCGGCAGCCGCCGCCGCTGCTATCTTGAGGAGGAGTGGCAGCCGTGGCATGCGCATCAGGACGGCGCTAGTGCTGTCGGGGACGGGGAAGGGTCTTTCGGCGACAAGGAGATTTCGCGAGGGGCTATGAAGATTGATGGATAATTCATCGATACTGCCATTACTGTTGGCATGAAGTGAGACGGCAACTGTTTTTGGGGAGATTTGCCTTGCAAGAGGGTCGGCGAGAATAAAGTTTGCCTTCTGGATGAAGCGCCACGCCGATCCTAGAAAAAAATTCTCACCACTCTATCTCGCTCTCCGCAATCTCTTGATCTCTCTCGCATCCGCTTGTTGCATAGCCCCGCGTCGTCACCGCTGTATTTTTCCCCACCCAAGCCAACCACGCACCTCCTCAGTTCGTGCAGCGCCTCCTTGGCCTTTTCCCCAACCTAGCATCATCGGGATGCCTCGCCGCCATGGGGCCGCCACCGCTGCCCATGCCGGCGCTGGTGGTGCTCACGCGCCGCCGCTCGCAGCTGGCTCCCACCCTAACGACCAGAATCAACTACCTCGTCCTCTCCTCCTCTATGTTATAAATGTATGTTTTAGTTCTTTCAGGTGTTTCAGAGTTACGTTGCAAGTGTTTCATATGGATGTTGCAAAAGTAGATCAGGATGTTGCATATGTTGCAATGGTTATACACGTATGTTTAAGCGTCTGTTTCAAATATTTCATCTGTTTTTTAAGACGTATGTTGAAAGCGTTTTTATTTGGATGTTGCGTATGATTCACACATATGTTACAAGTGTTTTTATCTAGACGTTGCATATGTTTTGCAATGGCTTTTTAAATGTTTTCAGGTGTTTTTGTAAGTATTTCAGACGCATGTTTCAAGTGTTTCGTCTGTCTTCAAATGCACGTTTCAAATATTTCATCTGGATGTTTCAGAAATTGATCAGGCATTTGCACATGTGGCAATGTGACTCACCTGCCATAATCGCCTGCTGCAGCTACTGGGGTGCCATGCATGCGTGTGAGAAGCGGAGGGATGGAGTGCTGTGCGGCGGCAGGCACGTGAAGCGGAGGGGGAAGCGCAAGGAGCGGCACGAGCGGTCTCCGCCTGGCGCGGGCGTCCGAAAGCAAGCGTCGACGTCCGGACGCTGGTACTGCCTGGGATGGAAAGACTGTATAACGTAGGAGACTAGTAGGGGTACAGTTTACTCCTGCCACTGAGCAGTTTGTGTTTATGGACTTATGGGATCAATCCATGTTCAACGGCTAAGGCATAAAGTTTATCGGTTCAAAGTTTCTGTAACATACTGAAACCTCTGCAATTATCCCCAGAAGCAAATTAATTTCTACGAACCTTTCGAGCTTTTTCCAGAAATCGTGAGCCTTTCAAAAATAATGAAGTGGCATAAAGCTGGTAAACCAAATAGTAATCCCCGTCCGCGCCGCCGAGCACAGACAAGCCATCGAGCACGCGGCTCCACAGAACAGAGACGTGACACCAGCACGAGAGGTGAGAACGACCTCCCGTGCACCCACTCTAGGTTGGACACGGTTCACCTTCCCCGCTCCCACCCGAGCGCTCTTTGCGCAGCCTCATCGACTGTTCCCGTTCCCGCCCAGATGCACCTGCGGGCTGCCGCGCCGTGCGTCGTGCGTGGTTAAGAAGGTTCGCCACGTCTCCTGCGCTATAAAATGCGAGCCGGTTCAAAGCTTTGTTCCCCACGCACTCGCTCGCTGCAGTATCAGTGCAACACCGATCCAGAGGACACCAGCTGAGCTCGAGCTATAGTCGTTTCAGCACCGGTTCCGGTGTCATCCATGGCCATGAGGAGGGCGGCGCAGCAGGCGGCACGGTTCGCCATGGGGCCGCACGTCCCTCACATTGCGCCCGCTGCGAGGAGCCTTCATGTACGGCACGTTTGTTACTCCCTCCATTTTACTATTTGCAATAACATCTGAGCCACTTACCCGTGCGTCGTTCTGTTTCGTGTACCTCTAGGCGTCCGCCGGCAGCAAGAAGATCGTGGGCGTGTTCTACAAGGGCGGCGAGTACGCCGACCGGAACCCCAACTTCGTCGGCTGCGCCGAGCACGCCCTCGGCATCCGCGGCTGGCTTGAGTCGAAGGGCCACCAGTACATCGTCACCGACGACAAGGACGGCCCCAACTGCGGTAAGCGTGTTATGCTTGTGCGCACACGTCACTACTGGCTCGGTGTCGCGCTGACAACGTTGCGTACATGCTTTTGGCGCCTGCAGAGCTGGAGAAGCACATCGCCGACGCGCACGTGCTCATCACCACGCCGTTCCACCCGGCGTACGTGACGGCGGACCGCATCGCGCGCGCCAAGAACCTGGAGCTGCTCCTCACGGCGGGCATCGGCTCCGACCACGTGGACCTGCCGGCGGCCGCCGCCGCGGGGCTCACCGTCGCCGAGGTCACCGGCAGCAACACGGTGTCGGTGGCGGAGGACCAGCTCATGCGCGTCCTCGTCCTCGTGCGCAACTTCCTGCCGGGCCACCACCAGGCCATCAGCGGGGAGTGGGACGTGGCCGGCGTCGCGCACCGGGCGTACGATCTGGAGGGGAAGACGGTGGGCACCGTCGGCGCCGGCCGGATCGGGCGCCTGCTGCTGCAGCGCCTCAGGCCGTTCAACTGCAGGCTGCTCTACCACGACAGGCTCCGGATCGACCCGGCGCTGGAGGCGGAGACCGGCGCCCAGTTCGAGGCGGAGCTCGACGCCATGCTGCCCAAGTGCGACGTCGTCGTGCTCAACATGCCGCTCACCGAGAAAACTAGGTGAGACAGACCTACTACAACCGAAAAATCAAACGCGCACGCGGGCGTCATTACCACGACTGCCATCTGCTTTCTCATTAACTGCTTGCTGCCTTTGGCCAGAGGCATGTTCGAAAAGGAGAGGATCGCGAGGATGAAGAAAGGCGTGATCATTGTGAACAACGCTCGAGGCGCGATCATGGACACGCAGGCCGTGGCGGACGCTTGCGCCACCGGGCACATCGCTGGTATGTACTGCCTGTCCTGTCCTGCTCATTTTCAGCCGGTTAGCATTGTGGCAAGATAGAAAAACGTCACGCTCACCAGACTGATACGTCTGAAACTGTTGTATGTGTGATGATCAGGATACGGCGGCGATGTGTGGCACCCTCAGCCTGCGCCCAAAGACCACCCGTGGCGCTACATGCCCAACAACGCCATGACCCCTCACATCTCCGGCACCACCATTGATGGCCAGGTCAGTAGACAGTAGTACATACAGTTCTTAGTAGAGCAGAGTTGAGGAATACTGATGTAATAATAAGCATGTTTCTGGCACGATTTTTGGTACAGCTGAGGTATGCGGCCGGGGTGAAGGACATGCTGGAGAGGTACTTCCAGGGTCAGGATTTCCCAGTGCAAAATTACATCGTCAAGGAAGGCAAGCTCGCGGGCCAGTACCAGTGAGCATACATGAAGACGCATCTGCAGTGTGAAGCCTGCTCCTGCCTCAGCCTCCTCTGCCTCAACATGTCAATCACCATAAATAAAGTTACATTTTCCATAAAATTGTTCCATTTTCCAACTTTCCTTCCTTTATTTGTTTGAAGCTTGCAGTGTCTAATGACCTCTGATACAAGAACTTAAGACAACAGCATTGCTATGTGGCCTTTATTTATACCTACACAATTTTCAGTTCTCTCATCAACAGCCAAACAAGCAACTCAACATCAGAAACCACCTACCAGGTATTCAACTGCTGCACTTGTTCTGAACGACATAATCTTGCGAATAGTTGTTATGTCGCTGAATAAAAAAGCCATACTTTAACTTGTTAAACAAAAGGATAGTGAAACCCAGTTGGCCCTTGTCTGTTTGAGCTTCACAGTCGTTGGAATGATGCAAATCTCCTCTTATAGACTGCATCCAACCTGACGGATACATATCTAAGTACTCCAACGTTTACATTAATGTGATGGTGTGTAAAAGCTCACAATTGAAGCGCATGCAGGCCTTTCATTAATGCATCAGTGTGCTCAGGTTTCCCAACCGAGATACGAATATACCCTTTCAGTTCCTTCTTGTCATAGTGGCGGATCATCACTCCCATCTTTGCAAGGTCTTCCTGAATTTTTTTTTCAATAAAACATGTGAGTAATGTTGTAAATTGCGTACTCTTGCAAACATTCCTGCATTTGTATTCCAGAAAACGTGAACAGAGATATTCATTTGTAGAAAACCATGTTCTGATATTTTCTGACCTTAAATCACATAAATATGCAACAATAAAGAAAACGAACCTTTATTTTCTTTGCATCCTTTCCTGATGTGACCTCGCAGAGAATGAAGTTAGAATGACTGGGAAACGGTTTCAGGAATGGTATTCCTTTGAGAAGATTAAACAACCTCTCCCTCTCTTGTACCAGTAAATTTTTCACATTCTTCCGTTGTACAAGGTTCAACAAATGCACGTTAAGTTAGGCAAAGTCGAACTGTGGAAAGAATTATTACAGTGATTTTGTAAAAGTGATACCTCCAAATAGGTTGGATTCTGCAATGCTGCACATGCTGAAACTTCTGCGGCCACAGAAACATTGTACGGCTGCTTGGCCCGCCACAAATACTCAATAATGCTCAGAGGAAATGCACCATAACCCACACGAAGACCAGCTAAACCTGCATTGTTAATAACTTTTAAGCTTAACCTTTCAGTTCGTAATTTTGTAGCAAATGTGTCTTTTATATGTTTTTTCAAAGCAAGTGACTTTAGCAACAGATGATTGGCATATAGCAGCTCACATGAGCTAACAATAAAAAACTACAATCAACAATTGGATTAGCAGTTTCCTTATCATAATCTAAAAACCAACCAGGGGATTACAAGGCAATGTCATGAGGAAATCATAACAATAAATTCGAGATCTCCAAATACTAGTGAAGTTGTTAGTTTGTTTGGAATACATTTACACTTGCATGCTAACTATATAGGACATAAAAATCACAAACCTGCTCGTTTGCTAAATGTTCGGAGAACAATCAAATTATCATGCTTCTTAACCCATGCCATCTTTGACTTTAGGCTTGAAAACTCAATATAAGCTTCATCCAGCACTACAAGTATCGGAAGATCCAGTATCTTTAAAAGATCCTCATCGTTGATTACACTGAACAAATAGAATCAAAGTAATTCAGTAAAATATGGTAATCTGTACAGCAGCCAATAGAATAATAGTTCCTCCACTTATGAATGACAAAGATGTACCTGCCATCTGGATTATTTGGGGATGTCAGAAATATGCATTTTGGGTTTTCCTGTTCAACAACTTCGACAATGCGATCAACGTCTAGGGAAAAATCGGGCAGTCTTGGAACTACATTATAGAATGGTGAATGAAATATCATGCCGGGAAGATGCATATAGCGAAGAGAAAAATCAATTTAATAGATGAAGTAAAATTAACCGAAGAATCATTGAAGGTTCAAGAAATATAAGCAAAATTCAAGAAAGGGCTAGCTACCCACCCTTGATAACAAGTGCACCATTGACTGAAGCATCGAACTCATACATTGTGAATGTTGGAGGGCAATCAACAATTTTGTCACCTGGTTCGAGCACACATCTGCAATTGCACCATTTATGAAATAGATGATAACTCAGCTTTTGGATGAAGATATCAGCAAAAAGTTAAGAGTATTGAGATATAAATGAGCTAGATGCTAACCTCATAATTAAATCAATTAGTTCATCTGCGCCACATCCAGCAAGTATGTACTCAGATTCAAGTCCAGAATCTTCAGCAAGAGCAGCACGCAAGTGGCGGCTTTCAGGATCAGGGTACACATAGGGGAACTTGAGACTACCTAATGCTGTAGCCACCTGTGGAGGGAAAGGTATGCTTAAGAAAAATACAGCAAAGAGAATGTATTATTTGTGTACATGAATCAGCACCTAACTGCTCGATCATAGAAATACCAGCATGGCTAAGTGTACTACTGTTTGAATAAAATTTATGAATCCTTCTTAGAGTTTGTTCATGTTCGCCTTGTCTAACTGCTGATTGTTAAGAATGTACTGTTTCGAGTACTGGACTACAGGTTATATTAAACCAATCTTTATATTGAAGACTATAGCTCACCTCCGGAGGTGGACCATATGGATTCTCATTTGCATCCAACTTGATTATGTCCTCAGGTCTGCGCCCAAGCCGAGCAGATAACACCTGTTAAGAGGTCCCGTTTTCAGCGAATGTAAAAGCGGAGCACAGTATCGCCAGAGAAATTTGCAGCGGGCATTTTCGCGAGCACCTCGAGAGCATAACAAAAGGCGGCGTGCCTTTTCCAAAATACAGGGGAATCTTAGAAGCGGGTTTCGTATCTTACCTCGAAAGGAAGGATGGGCTGATACGGGGCGAGGGTCCTAAGGTGGCGCCGGATGAAGGAATCACCGGTCGGCCGCCGCTTCGCCTCGGCTGCCGCCGTGGGCTCCTCCACCGGGGCCGCCGACGCCATGGTCCGGAGAAATACCCTGCCCGCTGAGCCACGCCTCTCTCCGGCAAAGTGGGACGCGGCCGGCGACGGGTTTCGGATGCGGAACCGGGTGGAACAATCCATCAACGAAGCGGCGCCGCCGAGCCGGAGCTGCGGACGCAGCGCGGCAGCGGCTGGGGGGCGCGGCGCTGGACCTGGAGTGGCGCGACGCAGCGGCCGTGGGCGGCGCGGCGCTGGGGCCGAGCGTCGCGGCAGCGCGGCGCTGGGGCCTGGGGTCGGGCGCTGGCGGCGGCGGCGCTTGGGGTCGACAGTGTTGGTATCGCTGAGGGCCAAGTGTGACTAGTGAGATGAGAGCCCCAGGGGCGTATTGCGCACGTGAGGACCTAGGCTTGGATACGCTGAGGATTCGCGCCCTGACGCATCTGGCGTTTCTCCGTGCCTGAGGGCTGAGTTCCAGGTCATCGTGTTCTGCTTCGCCACAGGCCACCGGCCACCGGGTGCGCCGTGCGCGCGGACGCGCAGCCCCGGCACAGGTGGCGTTCCACCACGAGGGCACGCCACCGCCGCGCGCGCATCGCGGTCTTCTTCACTTGTTGCTGGTTGCTTGGAAGGAACACAGGCGATCGCTTCTTCCGGTCAACCTCTCGTTTTCGTGTCCAGGTCATGCGATTGTCGTGTCAGTTGCGACTTTGTGTGTGTTCGCCTGGATCGATAGCGGCAGGGCCGGGGAAACCGAAAACGATCAGACGACTTTGTTGTTTTCCAACGGAGCTCGTATGCTTGCTGGTCTTTGTGGAGCTCGGTGGTCCATCGCGTGACGTGATCCAATCATCAGGAATACAGTTACCGGTGGTAGTCGTAGCTTGTCAAATCCGCAGGATCCTCTCGCCAGTCGCCAGATAAACCGCCTGACCGCCACAGATCACAGCCACGGACATCGTGCTGCTTTATTGATATCTGAAATTTCCAATGAAGTTTATATTTAAATTTACCTGTGATATTGTTCATTCTGCCGTGAACATACCATTATTTCTGACATGTCCATATTATGTACATGCATTTGACTGATCGAGTACAGTTTATGCCGACCAGCGGATCTCTTAATGGAATCCCTGGCTAAATCCCCTCACATTTCACCGTTATGTGAATCGAAAAAAATTAGCCTATTCACATACCCGCTCTAACGCCACAGGCAACCTGAAGCTTCCATCCATCCGATCATCACCTTGAGAAGCCGACCCCTCCTGCTCATGCCGGCCCCAAAAGCTCCCGAACCAGAAGAGCCCTTCTTGCTCAGTGATCGCCTCCCACACGCCGTCGATTTCGTCGTCGCCGCCGCCGACAGCGAAGCACCTCTCTTTCCAATCGCCGGCGCCCTCCTCCTCTCCGATCCCAAACGCGGCTTCAAAGCCGTCGTCCAGGTCCAGCAGGTCGGCCAGCTTCAGCCCGGCTGCCTTTGACGACGACGACGACGACCTTCTCCTATGCCATCTCCTCAGGATGATCCTCTTGGTCTTCACGACCACCTTCCTGGGCAGCCTGACGAAGAGGAAGACGGTGACCTGCAGCACCAGGCACGGGCAGCAGCAGCACACCACCAGGCAGTCCATGGCCACCAGGCCGGTCTCGCCCACGCACGACGACATCGCTGGACGCGCGTAGACAGAACACAGAAGCAACAGCGATGGTGAGGGAGCAAGAAGAGACGGCGAGGACATAGATAACTGCATTGGTTGCTTGGAAGAGTGAGCCGGAGGTTAAGGTTGCTTGAGCAGCAGAGTAGTGGCTTGGGGGATCGATTTTGTTGATTCTTTCAAGCCAACTCACCCTGAACCGTCGCAAGGGGCTACGTGTCTCTTGTTCTCAAGCGTGGACTACGCATTACAGATTTACAGGGATAAAGCAAGGGCAAAGCGTACCTATTCTGTGTGACTATAACACATGCTGTGTAGTGTATCTGCATTTTTGGCGCGTTTTTTCTTGGGACACGCAACAACGTAAACATAAACATCAAGAAACAGAGACAGAGGTGTATCTGCATTTTTTTTGGCGCGTTTTTTCTTGGGACACACAACAACGAAATCATAAACATCAAGAAACAGAGGCATGTGTGGCGTGGATGATGATTGTCGATTGGTGACATAAACATAAACAAAAACATAAACATCAAGAAACAGAGGCATGAGTGGCGTGGATGATGATTGTCGATTGCTGTGTTTAGCGGACGAACAATCTCTCTCTTTATGGCACCCAGAAATGAAGTGGAGCGTAACAATCTTTATAGGCTTATAGCACCCAGAAATGAAGTGGAGCGTAACAATTGCTGAAGCTGATTGGCTTACTTGTTCGGCTGTTATTAAAGCCGACTGATAAGCCGGCCGAAACTGATTTTTGTGAGAGAAAAATATTGTAGATTCTAGCTAATAAGCCGGCTGATAAGTTCAGACGAACAGGCCCCGACGAGACCACCGTCAGAGGCACATAAAAAGGCCGTTGGCTTACTTGTTAAACTCCCTTCCTGACCTCCTCGAAATATAAGGGATCCAAGTTTATCCATAATTAAATTGAGCTAAATTTGATCATATTTATAGAGAAGAATATTAAAACTACATCAAAAAGGTATATTATATATATATATATATATATATATATATATATCCATGATATATTAATGATGTCAAAGAGATAAATTATGAAAATATATTTTATAATATATTAATAATGCTAATTTAATGTTATAAATATTATTATTCTTTTCAATATACTTAACAAACTCATCATAGTTTCCCTTATGACAAATCTAGTCAATATACTTAACAAACTCGTCATAGTTTCTACGATCAAGTCGAGGTGGACATCCAACACATCCTGATTGGTTGTGTTTTCGCTAAACAAGTGTGTTTTCAAATGCTCGGTAAAGTGGGACTCTCAGTTCTAGCCCCTCAAGCTGCGGACACTTCATTTGAGGATTGGTGAAGCTAGCGCCTACGGTCTTCAGAAAGGGAATCAACTCTCTGATTATTTTGGGAGCATGGATGATTTGGAAGCAGCGAAACGATTGTGTATTCAACGGGGCGTCGCCAAACGTGCAGAGAATCCTAACACACATCGAAGAGGAAGCGCATTTGTGGTGTTTAGCTGGAGCAAGGGAGCTTACACGGCTCCCTGTAGCAAACGGTTAGGCCCATCACCGTTGTTGTTAGTAGTTGGTCGTGTTTTATTTTGACAGGCGCGAATGTAACTGAAAGTTAAGGGGTGTGTGGGTGATGTGCGTGTTGTATTTTACAACTCTTCTTCTTAACGCAATAATACGCAGTAGATCAAGAAAAAAAAATCTAATCTACAATCCTTATATATGGCTGTAAAGAATTTGAAAGGTGTACTCAACAAAAAAATGGTATCAAAACTTGCTATTCAGAGAGTCCATTCCGGGCTAGAGAAAGACAACCACGCATCTTCTGACCCAGTGCAATCCATTGCTACGGACACGCGATTACACAAAAAGGGCAGGTTGTTTTATTTTGGAACCGATGAATAGACGTAAGCCCATGAATACAGGAAAAATGATGCACTGCGTGAGGAGTTGATACGTTCCAATGACTTGGAGCTCAAAAACTTTCCATGGCATGCATCCTTTCATGTTTTTGGTGCATGCTTCTTTAAGTAAAGAAGAAATGAACATAAATTGTCCAGCAGGCATCTAGCCCACAAGACAATAAAAACAGTGCCCTTCACTTGTTAGAGGAAACATTTTATTCAAAGGCCAGATCAAAGTTGCAGACATGGGGAAACCTTCAACAGCACAGCCTCTGCATTCTGATGATGTTTTTATCCAAAAGGCTGTTAGAATTCAAGGGGTTGCCTCAAGAACGCCTCCATTTGCTTCGCCCTAGTCCTGATAGACATATCAAACACCTTCTGCCCGAATTCAATCACTAATCCTCCCATGATGCTGTAGTCAATCTGCAACAGAGAAAACACAAGTTGAGGAGGAGGAGCATCCCTTCAGATATTACTTTCAAGAAGCTCGTGGATCAAGTAGTTACCTTCTGTTCAACCAAAATAGTTTTGTTTTTCCCAAGGATATCCTGCAAGGTATCCTTTAGTTCTTTCTCCTCCTTCTCGGGAAGTGGCTAATAGCAGAGGAAACATGTGTCAGCAAAAATGTGTCAGCAAAAAATTGAATACTCAAGGAACAATACATGAAGCTGTGTATCGACAATTCCGGCTAGCAAGCTTCCTAAAATTCTGGGATGATTTGTACTAGGTTTGTAGAAGTGAATATTATCAGAATTTGTTCCCTGATGATGTGATAAGAGATGTAGCAGCTTGTTCGAGGCCGACATAAAACAGAACAACTTTGAGCGGCACGGAGAACTGCAGGGTCGAGCTTGATTTTGCCAACCTTCAATGCAAAGATCGCCATTTATATGGCCCCCTTGCTCTGCAAATTGGCTTTCTATACTCGAAAAATCAACACATCCTAACCCAATAAAACAAAATGTCCATATTACCCACGATCTTTCCCAGCTAAGAAAGAAACAAATCAAGAAAACAAAAGAACTAGAAGAAGGGACCCGAGTGCAATATTTGATGGCTACAAATGCTGTACCAAAATATGCAGGCATGCCTCTAATTGGTCAACTATGATTAAGCATGTCAAGTCTAAAACAATTAAGCATGTCAAACGCTGATATGGATTACTCAAGACAACTCAGAAATGTGCACAATAGCACCTCCCACTACCAGTCATGAATAGTACAAATACTTTATCTAGTTTGAAATTTGTGAGGGACACGATACCTGGCTATGAACCAATTTGGTTTCATGCCCGGAAGGTCAACCATGGAAGCCATTTTCTTAATAAGACAAGTTATGGAGCGGTATAGGGAGAAGAAGAAGGACCTACACATGGTTTTTATTGACTTGGAGAAGGCTTATGATAAAATACCAAGGAATGTTATGTGGTGGGCTTTGGACAAACATAAAGTCCCAACGAAGTACGTCGGGCTCATTAAGGACATGTACAACAATGTTGTGACTAGAGTTCGAACAAGTGATGGAGACACGGATGACTTCCCGATTAGGATAGGACTACATCAAGGGTCAGCTTTGAGCCCTTATTTGTTTGCTTTAGTGATGGATGAGGTCACAAGGGACATACAAGGGGACATCCCTTGGTGTATGCTTTTCGCGGACGATGTAGTGCTAGTTGATGAAAGCGGACAGGAGTGAATCGAAGCTGGAGTTATGGCGGGAGACTTTGGAGTCCAAAGGTTTTAGACTTAGTAGAACTAAGCGAGTATATGAGATGTGACTTGGCACTACTACTCGGGAGGAGGAAGATGTTAGTTTGGAAGGTCAAGTAGTGCCTAGGATGGATACCTTTTCGATATTTAGGATCAATGCTACTGAGAGGGGACGGAGATATTGATGAAGATGTTAGCCATAGAATCAAAGCGGGGTGGATGAAGTGGCGGCAAGCGTCTGGTGTCCTATGTGACAAAAGGGTACCATGAAGCTAAAAGGCAAGTTTTATAGGACGGCGATTAGACACTGCTATGTTGTATGGTGCGAGAATGTTGGCCTCTGAAAAGGCGACATATTCAACGGCTAAGTGTCGCGGAAATGCGTATGTTGCGTTGGATTTGCGGGCATACAAGAAGGGATCGAGTTGAACGATGATATACGTGAGAGATTAGGGGTAGCGTAATTGAAGAAAAGCTTGTCCAACACGGTTGAGATGGTTTGGACATGTGCAACGGAGACAACCGGATGCTGCCGTGCGTAGTGGAATCCTAAGTCGGGATAGTAGCGTGAAGAGAGAGGAGAGGAAGACCGAAGTTGACTTGGGTAGAGGCAATAAAGGAGACTTGAAAGGATGGAATATACCCAAAGACTTAGCCTTAGATAGGAATGCTTGGAAGATGACTATTCACGTGCACGAACCTTGATTGTTTCTGTTGGGTTTCAACTCTAGCCTACCCCAACTTGTTTGGGACTTAAAGGCTTTGTTGTTGTTGTTGTTGTTGTTGTCTGTATGGTTAATGTATTTTTCAGTTTTATTTAAACATAAACAACACTAAATAAAAACAGGAAAGTACATTAGAAAAACTAAACTAAACAAGACTTCCAGAAAATTCACATCAAGCAACATTATCCATCACAACTCATTCATATTATCATTCTATCAGGCAAGAGAAAACTATAGATGCATCGAAAACATTTCTTTTAACATGCGAGGAGACAGCTGTTCGACAGATACTGTTTTCATGGTAGCAAGAGGGGATAAGAGAAGGAAAATCAACTTACAATAACGGTCCTGACCACAACCTTCACCTCCCCCTTATGTGCCATAGTCAAGTCAACAAATCTCTCCGCAATGCGCTCAATATATTTCAGCCTGCCATTGTCCGCCAGGACAGCTTCATAAACGAACACAAAGTTAGGCACTCACAAGATACATGACAAATATGGAACAAATTATAAGCATTTACCAATTATGCCAAGTACCAAAATTCAACAGACAAAGCAACTTTTTGTGAGAAGTCCTTCAATTAACGGGTTTGGTAACAACATATAATTGATTCTACAACCACCTTTATAAACACACTATTAAATGGGCTACTCAACCCTAGTCGCCATGGTACCGACCAGGCGACTAGTCATGGTTAGTCGAAGACCAGGTTGACTAGTCGACCCTAATCGGTCCTAGCCGTCTGCTGTGTGTACCAGGACCTATAAGGTATATATACTATATAGTATAAATCAAGCATCGAGACTAGAGAGGTATGACCTAGTTCGTTGCTACGTACCTGCTACTAGAAACAGAGCATCGAGCTTCAGGGAAAGACAAACTGCACAGAGGAGTGACCCAGCGATCACTAGCCTTTGAAGGAGGAGCCCATCTTCGTGCTCCCTTGAACCTGGATTGATGGAGGTGTGACCCATTGGTACTTGACCCGGCTACGGTGGAAAAGAGAGCTGGTGGCTTCCTTTGTGTGCCGCGTGAGCTTTCCCCCACGCACTGGTGGCTGAGGCAGGGACGAGAGGCGGCGGCGGCAGCAGTGGGAGGGAGTAGGCACGACCGCTGGGAAGGCTGAAAGGGAGGTTAGGAAGACCAGTGGTGGCAGGGATGGTTGCGCATTTGCACCCACAGCATAGTGATTAATCATCGACTAACCGGCTGACCTGGTTTCTGGTCACTCTAATCGAGCCGGAGTAACTAATCGAGTCCAAGGGACTGACTAGGATGATTAATCACTATTAATCGGACAACTTGATAACACTAATATAAATATACTGCTGCACATGGCAGATTATTATGCAGATCATGGCTACCAAAAAAAATATTTGCTCCGTATCAATATGAAAAAAATTATTGGAACCAGCACAAGTAAATGTCTGAATACGTTCTACACAGTCCATCAGTAAGGCATGTACACCTTATCAGATTTTTTTTTCCTGGAGTGTATCAAAGTGATTAACTTTTTACACGAAACTGTATCTTAACTTAATTAGGCACACAAAAATGAGTAGGCAGGGCACATACCCAAGAAATTCTTTGTAACATCTGAAAACCCAGCGTCAGCAAATATTTCGGTTACAGCCTTCACCCTGGTCTCTTTTGGAACTGACAAGTCCTTTATGAATTGAGAAAACAACGGGCTCTTCTTGGATGCCTCTACAACAGTTTTTATCTCAGACTCAATTTTGTCCAATGAGTTAGCTTTAGCTGCTGTGAGGAACAGTGCACTGGCATAGTTGCCTGTGCCACCATACAGAGCTTCTGGAACCTACAGACATAAATGGGGCAGACAATAAGATTACAGTGACATGCACAGAGAAATGAAGCACATCTTGAGCTTCCAAGAACAAGCTAACTTAAAGGAGAATCTTTCATCCAGGAGTCGGTATAAAACTACACAGATATATTACGGAAAACCAAGAAATGTAAACCAAACAACACAAAGTGTCTTGTTGTCCTAAAGCTTCTGTACCAAACAATTCAGCTAAGCTCAACATGAAGAAATTTTGTTTGGACAAAGCAGCAAAAAAGTAACTTGCATTCAGTAATACACCATTTGTGTACGACTTAAATAAGTGATTGATGTGTGCAACATTATGTTCACTATAACATCCAATTGGTATTCAACCCTATTACAGCGTAGTTTTCCTAACAATAGGTAGGATATAATAGATAAATAATTGCATAACCTATGGGTTGCTAATAATACATATGCATTGACAAGAGTAGCCTATCACCAGTTTACCACTCCCGGACGTATAATAAAACAGCATTCGTATCCCATTTTACAACTACATTCGCTCATCACGGAGAATGGTACCTTGATCTCCTTCCCGGTGGGATTGGCCGGCTGCGACGCGAAGCCCCTCGAAACCTGCATCAGAACGAACACGTCAGTCCCAACAAAAATCACAAGGATGACTTAAAAATTCCCCTGCAAAAGACCCTAAAACTTCAGGAGATCTATCCCAGATCGCATACAGGGCGCGGAAGGCCAATCGAAATCGACAGAAATGGATCTGTTTCAACCACAATGTGGGGGAGCAAGGACCTGGGCGACGGCCGCGGATTCAGAGGATGCGAGGTGGGCGCGGAGGAGGGGAGGCCGGATCTGAGGTGCCGCGCCGCCGCCATCCCTGTTCGCTGGCTCGTTCCGCGGCGGTAGAGACCGAAACCCCTGGATGCGGGTGGGAGGAGATCGGGGACGACGAGGCTGGTGAGGTGGTCTCGCGGAGTGCGAGGAAAAAGAGGGAGGCCACGCTGGGCTTTTTGGAATTCGACCGAAAGTGGGCTTCGGTGATTTAACATCCCGCAAAGACCCTTCGTCACCTGGCCATTACAAAACACGATCCATTCGTGAAAATGCTATCCGAGGACTTTAAGACCATTTTTCTTCCTCTTCTGTCCATGTCCATTTCCTCTTTTCTTTCACCGGTGCTCGCTTGAGCCAGACGGAGGGGCGGAAAAGCGGATCGAGCTCGTTTGCTTCGCCTGCTTCACGAAAACAACGAGCGAGGCACCCCCCCATGAGCACCCCATCCACGGCAAACCCCAATGAGCACCCACCCCCCACCCACGGCGAGGGCCCCCCCACGGCGAGCCCACCCAGGCGCCCCCACGACGGTGCCTCCCCGCCGCCCTCCCCACGCCCGGCCATGGAGTACAAGACGGACAGCAGCGCCTCAAGGTCGGCCATGGAGAACAGCAGTACTCGGTACCTCGAAAGCCGAAGGATTTCAAGCAATGAACTCCCTCTTGTTCATTCTGAGTACCGTAAGTGCCGGTTTCTCAAGGTCTTGACAGTGAAGACGGACAAGAACTATGGCCGTCGGTTCTACATTTGTCCAACTGGAACGATGAGAATAGTTAGCTATAAATTTTGTGTGATGTATTTTGTGTGATTTGATGAGTGAGTCGATTTGATTGGTTTCCCTTCATTTGGCTGACAGAGAGAGAAGGTCTTTGGTTATCCATTTTGGGAGTGGGAAGAGGGTATGAGCAATACTTGGTTGATAATAAATTGGTGCCTTGAGATTATCAATCATTTTGAGTCTACTAAGTTGCCTGACAAGTCCTAATTATCGAAAACAAGGTGAACTGTGGAGAATCAAGCCAGGAAGAACAACTTAAGAAGCTTAGGGAGATAGTAATGCTGCTGAAATGTTTGATTCTTGTTTGTGGACTTGTGTTAGTTAGCAATTTGTATGCAATTGTCAAGAGTAGGTGAATCTTGTGTACTTGTATACATTAGCAATTTTGTGTGCCAATGTATCAAGTTTGCAGTAGTAGTAAACTGTCAGATGAACAGAATGTATCACTTGAGGTATGAAATGTTGTATTCTTTAGCAAGTACCAAATATATGCTTTAGGCCCTGTAATTTTAGTTTGAGCCAGAAAGATTCTAGCTCTCTTCTCTGTCGAAGTGTATTTGGTAAATAAATGAGATTCATGATGTAATAGTTTGCGCAGCAGCAGGGTTCAGAAGAAGGTAGAGGCCAAAGTATGATATCCTGGGCTGGAAATCAGCGTCAAGCATAATGTTATTTGTTTTGAGATTGCCGTGAATGATTGGTTTCTGCGATGTTGTGTGAAGGTGGTCCAGTCCTTTGACAATGCCGATAGATAGCTTGCAAATTATTTCACGACTGACTGAGACTAGCTTGTTAGTAACGGGTGAAATTCCTTTATAACTAAAAACTGTCCTTTTCAAGTCGTTGATATTCTGAAATGCAAACGGCCCAAAGTTCATTGCAACCAATCTGCACCAGTTGCAACTCCCTGAAAACGAGAGCTGATAGGTGCAGGAAACCACAAACAGTTCAGAAGTGCCACAATTCCACCAACATAAAGCCCAGAATAAGTCATGGAAACAACTAAAGATGCACTTCTCTGTCTGATTCATCAAGTTTCAGATTTCCCACCAACATAAAGCACAGATTTTTCATCTATTCCAGTGCAGTAGTAGTAACAACATACAATCAAGTTTCAGAAACACACAAGCCTGGTTCATCAAGTTTCAGAAACACACAAGTTTTAGTAACAACATACAAACTCGTACAGGACACAGGTTCATCAAACACATAGGTTACGAAAATGACACAGGTTCTCAGATTTTTTTTATTTTCCTTGGGACCAACTTCTTCGGTGTCGTTCTCTTCTTTCTTGGTGTTCCTTGAGTAGTGCTGGGTGACCCATCAGTAGGTTGGCCATCTATGCCTTCTCCCATCAAGAATGCCAAGCGGCTGAAAAAAGGAACAAAATTAAGTAATTGAAAATTGCAACTTTCAGGAAGTATAGATGTCTGTCTTTACCTTCTTGTCAGCCTAATTGGGCTGTCTTGCAAGATTATTTCATTAGTCGGTTTGGTGGGGCTGGTTACTACAATTGAATTTTTAACAACAAATGGGACTATAGCAGTATCATTCAAGGCTTGCACGGTTGTATTTTCAACTTGCACAGTTGCATTCTCAGCTTGCACAGTAGGGTTTTCAGGCTCCTTATCTTGTTTCTTTGCCCTTTTTGTTGGGACTTTAGCATTTGGCCCATATTTAGTAGTATTTTTCCTGGGCTTTCTTTTCATGCAGGGAGAAAAAAATATTAGTTGCCTGCAATCAATCAATAAAACAACATGGTGCAATCAATTAATAAAATGAAGAATAAAAGATGCTACCTTTTCTTTGTCCCATTTAGCTTGCACTTGTAGCTAGTTTCTCCATGACCCAGTTCACCACACCGCTTGCACTTCCTTTTCCCTGCAATTAGTTGCCTCTTTCCCTTAGCAGCTTCCATTTCTGCATCCTTATCGGCCTGATTGGCAGCATCCTTTGCATCTTTTTTGCTCATGCCACCACTTCCCCCCTCCAGACATCCTGATTCGTAGTTTTCTGGGCTTTCCAGCAGGTCTTTTAGCTAATGTGGCGTTAACTGCAAAGTCAAGCACAACTTCAGGCCACTGGGTCTTATCTGGAAGTGGCTCTATCAGTCTCTTATGAGCATTCTTGAACCTTTCCACTGAGTAATAATCATGAACAAAGTCTTCCATCTTAACATCAGAATTTTGTTGTGTTGTTATGAGGACCAAGGCATGCTGACAAGGTTTTTCCAGTGTGCTGCCACTGAACACAGGTACATTCATGCAAATGTGACTTGACAACATGCCTGTTATGTGTGCTGGTTGTGTCATGTATCTCTGCAGCAAAAGCACCTGCCTTCACAACTGTTAGGTTTTTTAAACCCCTAGTCTTTGCTTTCAACTGTTGTAGAACTGCAGGTAGGATCCTACCATGAAGCTTCTCTGAAATTGCACGTCTCTTGTTCCATAGTGTCATTATCATCTCTCTAATCTTGTCAGCAAGCTCAGCTATAGGTAGGTCTTTCCAAACTTTGATCCAATTATTGAAACTCTCTGCAAGGTTGTTGGTAATATAGTCACACTTGATTTCAGGGTTGAAGGCACTTCTCATCCATTACAATTTGTGATGGTTTTGAAGCCATTCCAATACATCAGGGCTAGCTGTCACAATTTGGTTCAAGAAATATCTGAGTACTTGATGCCTATATGTTCTTGCTGCAGGATACATCTTTGAAAAAGTATCTCCCCCAAATCTTTTAATAAAATTCTGCATTAGATGCCTAAAACATTCTTTATGTTCAGCTTGAGGGAACACATCTTTTACTGCTTTTTCTAACCCTTTGCATGCATCAGTGCAAATAGCAAGTACCGGTAGGTGTCCTATGGCCTTATGTAGCTTACTCATAAACCATGTCCAGTTATCTATTGTCTCATCATCTATGAACCCAAAAGCAAGTGGATACATCCAATTGTGACCATCTATAGCAGTAGCTGCAGCCATATGCCCATTCCATCTACCATTAAGTGTTGTTGAGTCTACGCTAACATAAGGCCTACAACCCTCCAAAAAACCCTCAATGCAAGGACTTAATGCACAAAAAATCTGTGGAAGTAGAATTTTTCATCTACCTGCTTTATGTCAATTTCAATGACACTTCCAGGTGATCGTTGCAGTACCTCTGCCCTCCAATTGAACAATATTTCGAAGTTCTGTTGCCAGCCGCCAAACAACTCCTCCAAGGTCATTTGTCTTCCCTTCCATACGGTGTCATAGTGAATCTGACACTTGTGCTCATCTTGTAGTAGTTTCTGCATGTTTTTGGTGCATATGGTGGAATCGTTCCTAAGGTGATGAATGGCCTTTGATGCCACCCAAGCACTTGATGGAGTGGTGGTCCTCCTCCTTGCGCTAGAAGTATAGGTATGCAGAGCAATCAAAGCTGTAACCTGTAACAAGCCAATAGCCAAAATATTAGATATTTACAACCAAAAAAATAGTGACATAAAGTTAGCAAAAGTTATACACCTTAACGGTTATCCCATCAGGTTGTGTTCACCCATTAATATGCCAAGGACAATCATATGTATTACAATCAGCAATGTATCTCTTCTTATCTATTTTGACTAAGTGCAGTTCAAACTCCTCATTTATTGCAAATTATTTCATAGCCAGTCTAAACCCCTTCATGTTTGGATACATGGTGCCAATATCCATACAAGGCTTGTTAGGATCATAAGCATAGAGTCTTTCCCCTGGTACATGATCGTCAACAGGAATTACAGCACCAGTTGTGTCAATATCAATGTCAGCAGTTCTATTTCCAGCTGGGTTGTCCCTCTCAGCAGCAGCCTGAGCCTCAGTCTCACTAGGCCTATCATGCTAATCATCATCAGTTCTCGAACCTAAAAGACAGAACAACTGATCCTCATCAATTATATCAAGCACACCATCACCCTCTTCATCAACTGTATTAGCAATCTGCAGTCTGTCCCAATCAACACCTCTATAACATTCTACAGCCTGCGAACTACCAAGGACATCACATGTTTCCTGCTCTACAGGCTTATCATTGCTACCAACATCTCCAATTTGTTCTACTGCATCTACACTAACCTTAGGCTCCGCATCGAGCCTGGAGAATTTGGAATTTTTTTGGCAAGGTGAAGGGTCGAGATGGCGGACTAGAGGGGGGGTGAATAGTCTTTTCTAAAATTAATCGCGTCGGCTAACCGATATAAATAAGGAATTAAAATAATCGGTCTAGCCAAGACTACACCCCTCTATATATGTTCACTAGCACCTTGCAAAGATACTAATAAAGCAACTAAGGTGCCGAGCTAGCTAGACCTCTCCTAAACAATTCTAGGAGCAAGATCACACAAACCTATGCCACTAGTACTTTAAGTAACAAGGGAGCTCCTACACATGCTAGTAAGCAAAAGCACAAAGCTAACTAAGCTCACTAGCAATGCTCAATAACAAGGCAACCAATGCCTAATTAGAGAGCGCAAATACTTAGCTACACAAACTAAGCAATGTGACTAACAAGGTTACTAAAACCAAATTAGCCACGCAAGGGAGCTACTTCTATGCTACATAAGCAATTTAGCTAGCTACACAAGCTATCTAATTACAAGAGCAACTACACAAGCTTAAGATATATATAAGTAATTGCAAGCTTGTGTAATGGGGATGCAAACCAACGGGAAGAACAAGGTTGACACGATGATTTTTCTCCCGAGGTTCACGTGTTTGCCAACACGCTAGCCCCCGTTGTGTCGACCGCTCACTTGGTGGTTCAGCGGCTAATTAGCATCACCCGCTAAGCCCGCACGTCGGGCACCGCAAGAACCTACCCCTTGAGTGAGGGTAACTCAATGACACGCTTTACTAAAGTTGCTCTTCGCGACTCCCGCGGGGCGAGCACAAGTACCCCTCACAAACACTTCTCCGGAGCACCGCACAAGCTTCTTGCGGGCTTCGACGGAGACCACCACCAAGCCGTCTAGGAGGTGGCAACCACCAAGAGTAACAAGCACCACCGGCTTGCAACTCGATCACCTAGTGCCACTTGATGCAACCTCACGATGCAATCGCACTAGAATCGCTCACTCACACAATCGAATGATCACTATCAAGTATATGTGTGATGGAGGGCTCCCAAGCACTCACAAGCATGGACACTAAGTCCCCTTAGGTGCTCAGCCCAGCCATGGCCGAGGGCCACTTCTATTTATAGCCCCAAGGGCTAAACTAGCCGTTTCCCCTTCACTGGGCAAAAGTCGGGCTGACCGGACGCTCCGGTCGAGTTGACCGGACGCTGGACCTCAGCGTCCGGTCGTCCACAGACGGCCATGCATCCTGATCCCAACGGTCACTTGACCTGACCGGACGCAGCGGTAAAACTGACCGGACGCTGAAGCCCCAGCGTCCGGTCGTTTCCAGTAAGCTCCCCGAGGCGTATTTCTTTGACCGGACGCGTCCGGTCCACCTTGACCGGACACAGACCAGCGTCCGGTGCAATACCCTCGGTACTGTGCCGACCCGTCAGTTTGACCGGACGCAGCCTTTCAGCGTCCGGTCGCTGCATGACCCAACGTCCGGTCAGTAGACCGACGCCAGCATCTTCACGATCAACTCGTTTTCACTTCTAACATCTTAACCCTTGCTCCAATGTGCCAACCACAAGAATTTGCATCCGGCGCAATAGAAAATAGGCATTCCATTTTCCCGAAAGCGTCGAATCCCGCCCTCAACCCTGCAAACACCACCTCCTTTTGTAAATGTGCCAACACCACCAAGTGTACACCACCATGTGTATGTGTGTTAGCTTTTCACAATCATTTCCCAAAGGATGTTAGCCACTCAACTTGCCACGCCACTCGATCCTAGCGACGATGCAAAGTTAGATCACTCGAGTGGCACTAGATGACCGATATGCAAACAAGTTTGCTCCTCTTGATAGTACGGCCATCTATCCTAAACCCGGTCATCAACTTTTCTACACACCTATGACCGGTGAAATGAAATGCCCTAGGTTATACCTTTGCCTTGCGCATTCCATTCCATCTCATCCAACGTCGATGCAACACATGCACCAACACGATCAACAATGATATGATCCACTTCATATCATCACGTGATCATATTGGTTCATCGATCTTGACTTCACTTGCTCTTCACCGTTGCCATCGTCCATCGGCGCCAAGTCTTGCTCAAGCTTCACCGCCACGCGGTCCATCACTCCAAAGCCTTCGACTTGCCCTTCATGCTTGCAACCGGTCCATCAAGCCAAGTCTTGTCTTGATCTTTTCCACCTTGATCACATGACTCAATGTCATGTCTCATGTGCGTTAAGCTCCTTCATCATCACATGTGTGAGCTTTGCAACATCTCTAAGCCATTTTCACCTTCATGACATATGTTGCTCACACACATGTACCTATGGACTAATTACCTGTGTATCTCACATAAACACAATTAGTCCACCTAGGTTGTCACTCAATTATCAAAACCAAACAAGGACCTTTCATAAGGTCACTGTATTGGCTTCCCAAACCGAGTTAGAGGAATACAAACACCGCAAGAAAGAGGAATCATACCGAATGAGGTCACTCCATCTACAGTCCATGGGGATTTTGATTGCTCTTTGTTACCCTAACAAATCACCGTGGAGGGGGCTCGCCGTAGGGAGGCGTTGGGCGCTTCGCCGTGGGTGGGGGTGGGGTGCTCATTGTGTGTGGGGGGGGGGGCTTGCCGTGGATGGGGGTGCTCGCCGTGGGGGTGCTCTCGCTCGGTGCTTTCATGGCGCAAAGCAGCAGATGAGCTCGATCCGCTTCTCGCCCCTCCGTTCTGGTCTCATGCGAGCACCGGTGAAAAGAAAGAGGAAAGGGACAGGGGCAGAAGAGGAAGAAAAGGGTCCCAAAGTCCTCGGATGGCATTCTCACGGATGGGACGCGTTTCGTAATGGCTAGGTGGCGAAGCCCCGTTGTGGGATGGCAAATCACCGAAGCCCACTTTCCATAATGGTCAAATTCCAAAAAGCCCGGCCACGCTATGCCCGAGAGGCGTCAGGTAGGGCAAAAAGGGCAACCACAAAGTCCACGATCCTCTCAGAGCGGCCCAATGAGCCGTTTCTTGACCGCTTTGTCATGGGTTGTATTTCGACCACTTGGGCCTTAACAGCTAGGTATTTGGGCCTCTTTCGGCTCCCATTTGTTCCAAAAAAAAGAGGAGAGGAGAAAACAGTGCTTCGGATTTGAGTCACTTCAGTACATTTCTTTGTGGTCCAACAAGATCAGCCCCTTGTTCAAAAAATCAGAAACAGATCAGCCCATATTTGACGAAGCTTTATTGTTAAGCTATTTGCAGACTTCTGCAATTCAACTATGATTCCTTCTTTCCCCTTTTTTAGATAACAGAATAAAAATTCTACTTCAGCCTCTTCGTGGAAGTAACTTGAATCCAACTTCTTACTACAAAAGAGGCATGATTGTCCTTTTTCAAGAGAAGCTAAAGGTAAAGTGCGCTAAATATAGTTACTGTTGTTACCGTGATGGAAACAAACACAAGGCAACAACTACTCCCTCCGTCCTGTAATATCATTCAAAATTTATCCTAAAATATAATGCATTCTAGAGGATAAAAAGCAATTTTACATTAAATACTTTCCATTTATCAACCAATCACTATTAATCACGTTGAAGATAGCGTCTGATTAGGAAACAAAATAAGGGTACATGCGTCTTTTTCGTTCTCTCTTAATTTGTCTTAAAATTCCTAGAATGTACTATATTACAGGACAGAGGGAGTAAGCCACTTAGTGCCAGGTAGTTTCTGTTAATGTTTTCCTTCAATTCTAAATATCTCAGATGACCGATGAACTGGAGATTAGTGAACTAGCTTATTTGTTGTATATTCCTCAACTTTTTCTTTCCATCTTTCTTGTATTTGTGCATCAATTGTTATAAACGTGATAGTATATAATTTGATATTCCTTCCTTTCCTAAATAATTCAATTCCTAGAAAAATATAGTTTATGGTACACATATTTTATGCAATAAACGCGATAGACAAACTTTTTATGTTTCATCGAATTTATGGAAAAGTACACATATTAGCACATTATGTAAATATAGTTTATGGTACGGTGTCTCTAATGATACTAATTTGGTATTATAAATCTTGACCCTATTTTCTATAAAATTTATTAAATGTAAAAAGATTTGATTTAAAACAGTTCTAAAAATTGATTATTGACAGACTACTAAACATCTCCGGACGATTCTTTACCACTTTTTATTTACAGATTGCAGTGTCCTCAGAGTATTCAGACGCGTTACTGTATAGTATGGGCGATTATCAAGTATACCAAGTACACCAACCGTCTCACCAATTGCCCTTTCCATGTTGATTTCCACTGCGGCGATCCACAGAAAAACAGACCTCGCAGGCTTTCTCCTGAACTTTACCGCGCCTACCCTCTAATCCTTTGACACATCACCGGGTCACAAAGCAGCTCGCCGCCTTTGCCGAACCCTCGCGCTGCCTTCGCCTGATCGCCTCCCAGTCCCATCCCGTGCCTACGTGCGCAAGCACGACCCGACCTCAAGCACTCAGCTGCTTGCCTGCTCACCGGTCAGGCAGTCACTACCCACCCACCACTGTTACATCGTGTTGCTCTGAATGCGAGGATGGCGGCGAGCACCACCACGCCCACGATGCCGGCGACGGTCACGCCTCTGCCGGGCTACGGCTACCAGGGCTCTGCCGCGGGCGCGGGCGCCGAGCCTCTGCACAGCTCCTCGGGGTCCATCGGCACCTTCTTCGGGGTGCTCGTGGCGGTCCTGGTGCTCACCTTGCTGTCCTGCGTCTTCGGCCGGGTGTGCGCGGCCCAGGCCGACGGACCCGATGAGCGGTACGACTGCACGAGGCTGGCCCGGCGGTGGTGCGGCTGGCGGGCGCCTCGCCGGGCCGCTGTGAAGCGGGAGGCAAAGGCGCCGCCCGTGCTGTTACTGGAAGTGCCCGCCGCATTGCCACTGCCCGAGGAGCCGTAAAGAAGCTCCCGGCGCCGAGGTTCATGGCCCTTTACTTCATTCTCTTCCTAGTTACGACTGTTAGCAGGATAGTCTAATGAAATAGGAGAAAGAATCCATCATAAGTCACTTGTCGTTTGATCATCTGTTCTTCGTGTCACTTATCATCATGATGAGTACATCCCAACTGTTCTGTACTCTGATCAACTAGTGCATGATATGCATAAACCACTTCCGATCCAATGATCCTCATTATATTTAACCGAAGAGACATAGCAGCTTGATGAATAGGAGTTTGACAGTTTCAGTGTGGTACAAACGGCACCTTTCAGTCAACAGCTCTGAATCATATATCAGACTGAACCCTGAAGCTGCAAACTGAGGCGACGATCCGAGTCCTGATCTGAAGAATGAACCCTGATCTGAACTGTGATGATAGTTCTTTGCTGTTTTTGTACTACAGATTGAACCCCGCCCTGAAGCTGCAAGCTAAGGTGACGATCCGAGTGCTGATCTGAAGAGCACCACGCTTACAAAAGTGCGATGAATCGATGATAGATTTGCTGTTCTTTGGTGCTTTGTTACTAGATTTGCACGCCAATCGTGCCGCGAAGTATGGCATAGTTTGGGGACGACAATTAAAGAACACATTCCTACCCTGCACCCCACATGGCCGCCAGACTTGTCCGTGGTCTACACACTATCATCAACAACCATTCTCCCATCAGGATCATGCACGATGCCATATTTGCCAACTTGTCAGGCCGGTCTGTTGCGTTCTTTCACGGTTGCTTCGGCATGTACGCAAGCCTTCACAAATGGGGCCGAGATCAATTAGGCCAGGTTTAGTTTCTCCCTCTAAAATTTACTCTCTTATCACATCGGATGTTTGACACATACATAGAGTATTAAATATAGACTAAAAAATAACTAATTGCACAGATTACGACTAATTTATGAGACGAATTTTTTAACCATAATTAGCCCATGATTTGACAATGTGGTGCTACAGTAAACATGTGCTAATAACGAATTAATTAGGCTTAATAAATTCGTCTCGCGGATTACTGGGGACTTCTGTAATTTGTTTTATTATTACTATCCGAACACCCCCATATAACACCCCGATGTGACACCCGATGTGACGTCCCTAAACTTTACTCCCTGAATTTAAATATCAACTTATAAATACTATGTTGAGAGGGTAGTTGACAGTGACCGAACAACAACTAAAGCACTGGCTAAGCCCAATGATTCTACCTCTGATCGAGTGATATAATATATTTTAATTTTGACTAAGTTTACAGACAAATATGTTAAAGCATTTACAAAACTAAATAAATATATTCATGTCAATATATATTTCAAATTTGATTTAATCGAACATTTTAACATTCTAGTATTAATCTACTCTTCTATAAATTTGGTCAACAAATACCTACAACTTATAACGTGGGGAGTCCAAACTTACAATGGTACTTGAGACAGTCTTGGCAAGGACCAAGTTGGATATCGGTAGGAGAGACAACGGTCTACTAAGATGCGAATGGAGTAAATATCCACCCACGACAAATTGTCTAACAGGAGCAATTCATATCGGCGCTCATATTCGTCGGTAACATTTTTCACTTGTAACTACGAGTATGTACACACACGAGTTGAATTGTGCCTAGAATGCCTAGGCGAGCATTGGCGGTGGCTGGCGTCGTAGCCCTTCCTAAAGTTGCCGCGTAGTAGATCTCACACCGAACACGAAAAAGCAGGTGGAGGGCAAGGGACGAATGGGTGACGATGGGTGTAGCTTGTCGGTAACCATGGTTGCCGATGGTCGAGATAAGTTAGGTGATGTGCCAAGTTCGAGGGACTTGAGGGTCTTCCCCGGAGGCACTCCTGCACTTTCTTTGCAAGATAAGCTGGTAACTAAATTTAGACGTGATTTTTCTGGCTCCACAATGTCATAGAGTAAAAGGTACAATAAGTTTTACTTAGACATGATAAAGTGTGGCTCCATAACACCTAGCCACACTTGGTGTGTTATGCCAATTATTTATTATTTATGAGAACCCAATAGCCTCTAGTTTATAAGTCTCGTATCTTAAACTTTGTATGATCTAAGTGCGTGGCTCTCTTTTCTTAGCTAAAGAAAACCTATTATACATACAACAAGAAAAATAAACCATCCGGTACAAGTTAAAACTTCACATTCGGCGGGCGCGCTGCGTGCAACCGGGGGAGGACTGCGATTCTGGGCACGGACAAGCCCAGCAACACGCCTGCCATCCCGGGCGTAGGCCAGGGCCAGGAAATCAAGACAACTCAATACGCGGCCTCCCGCGAAGGCAACTGTGCGGCCTGGCCCATACCCGGCTTACCCGGCCTGGGCGGACGTCGTGTAGCATAGCCGCCGCCCCGCCGGGGCGTGGCGGAGTGGTGGGAAGCGGTGCCCGCGTCCGTCTGTGCCTCTGTGGGCGGCTGGGCGCCTCCGCCTCGGCTCCAGCCTCCAGGTCTTTTCATTATATAATCATATCATCTAATCGTCTCGGCACGTTCAACGCATCAACGCAGGCAGCACACAGTTCCTGCGATCACAGTTCACGTCTCGCGGTGCGCCGGAGCCGCAGCGGCTGTACCAGTACCCAAGCTTGATGCTGCTAGGCTGCTACCAGAGTACCAGTAGTATTCTTGTGTGATTCATGGTTGAAACCTGATAAATATCATCACGACACGACAGGCCGGCATAGGAATAGGAGTGGCAGGCACGGAGACACAGCCTGCCACGACGACACAATCTCGTACCTCTACCTTCGCCGCCCGTGAGTTGACAGTTGAGTTGACGCGGATTATGTGAGCCGGCGACACGGCACTGACACGGATGGAGTGGCAGACCAGAGCGCAGTAGCAGTCCGTGAGCAGAGCACCTGCTCGAGGGCATGAGTTCACAAGCCGCTAGTGGTCGCCGCTTTTACGTTGGGCGAAGCCATAAACCCGGCGCCGATAAAGCGGGTGCGTGCCCATCATTTATGTTCGCTACTCGCCCCGCGTTCGGGGACCGCCGCGGCGCTGCCTCCCTTATCTTGTGTGGTGAGGTGATCACAGCTTTGATGGTTACTTTGAGCTCGTTCCTCCTGCTCGTCGTTCGCCGAAGCCGCTGGGATATTTTAGTTAGGGCCAGGCCCAGGATTCATTCCAGATTTACTTCCTTATACAAATTAAGCCTACTGTTTTGGCTGGATTTTTTCCAGGGACTCGTTCCCTGCTAAACGAACGGGGCCTTAGGGAGAAAAAAACCTCTGACATTTCACCTGAAAAGCGAGTCTTGATAAATCTCGATCGTTTCCCTGCTTAAGCACCTGCAAGTGACCAGGAGTAGAGCTTTACGTCGGCACAAGCGTAAATCGGTGATTGTCAACAACCTGTGATCCAACAAGTGATGAGGCGATAGACTTTTGACGTTGATGGACGAGTCTCGCTGCCTGCTGGTGGAGCCACTACACTACGCCTGGGCTAAGAATTAACCTTCCGCCCGTTCGCTGGCCGGTTTCTAAATTGATAAGCCTAACTGATACTGATTTATTGTGAGATAAAATACTATTAACTGATTGATAAGCTCCGACTAAAACCACCCAGTGAACAGTCTGTTCGAATGATCGAAATCCCATACGGCCATACATCTCTCATTCTGATTTGTTCGCGCGCTAGCTCTCGGCGACACAACCTCAGGCTGTGGTCAGGCAGTACCAAGTACGAACCAACAGTAGCGCTGAGTTCGATGCCACCACTGCCACTCCAGTAGTCCAGTGGATTGTACAAACGTCACCTGTGCCAACGTCAACCATGACCCAGACACAGCGACACGGCCCGTGCGGGCAGCGGCCGTGCCCCATGCCCTCTCCCACCTGCCGCCGCCGCACGTATACCCGCGCGCCGCGAGGCCCGCGACGCGCCCGCTTCACTCATCACATCCACCCAGCCACACACGCCCGTGCACGCGTACGCGCCCTGCGGCTGCGGCCGGTCGGTGCTCCGTGCGCCCCGTCCCCATGAACAACCACGGGGAGCCTTCCTTCCCCATCCCCGGGGATTTCGTCCCCGCGGGGATCCCCGTCCCCGATACAACAACATACACAGGCATAAATCTTGTAAGGTTGACAGATTCACACATACATAAATCTAGCAGCAAGGTTCATAGATTCATAAAATATCACAAATTCATAAATCATATGATACTCATTAGTCTAATCAATCTAGCAACATAGTTTAATAGCAAGACTTCGGGGCTAATGTGCCTTTTCTTACATGGGCCTTGCGCCCCTGGCTACTGCGATTCGATGGTGCTGCTTCACGGGGCGGGGATGCGGGGATCGGGGTTGGGGACCAGGGTACCATCCCCGTCCCCGCCATCTCCGACGGGGACAACAATTCTACCAATTCCATCCCCGTGAGGATCAATTCTTCACCATCCATATTCCCTAATGGAAAAATTCCCCGCGGGAAATCGGGGATCGGGTCACCGTTGCCAACTTTAGTCGGTGCGCCGTGCGCCCCGGCCCTCGCGCATCCGCGCACGTCCGTCCCTCTCGACCGTGCGGACCAGCGCATTTACGCAGACGCCGGCCGCTCGCCGGGCGTCCCCAGCGGACCAGCGCCCGCCCTGCCGCTTTGCCAAAAGCGCTCGAGTCGCGCCGCGCATGCACCAGCACCACCCTGCTGCCTGCCAACCTCTTAAAAGCGTCTCGGCACTTCGGCTCCGCGTCCGCCACTAGAAGGCAACCCATCATCAAACACTGTCGCCGCGCGCGCGCGCTCGCCTGCCCTCGGAACCTTCCCATTATTGCCATCACGCGCCGCGCGCACGCCCACACGCAAAGGGAGCTCGCTGATCGAGCGAGCTCTAGAGCTAGCGAGCTTATCCATCCATCCCAATCATCCCATCATGGCGAGAGCCTTCCGCGCGGCCTCCCCGCTGCCCCTGCCAAGCTCGAGGAGCGCCGCCGCGGTGACGAGCGGCGGCGGGAGAGGGAACTTCCCGTGGCTAACGAAGAAGACCTCGAGCAAGCCGGCGCCGCCGAGCGGGGGCGGCCAAGAGAGCAAGGGCGACGAGCCCGAGGGGGCGAACGCCGCCGCCACTGCCGCAGCCGGGTCCATCGAGCAGTCGCCGTCGCCGTCCTCGTCCTCGTCGTCGAGGAAGCGCGCGGATGCGCTGGCGCGGCTGCGTGCGGCGTTCCTGGCGGCGATCACGCACAGGCGCCGCCGCCGGCAGCTGGGGTCGTGCGTGACGGGCACCATCTTCGGCCGGCGGCGCGGGCGCGTGCACGTCGCGCTGCAGACGGACCCGCGCTCCGCGCCCGTGCTGCTGGTGGAGATGGCCGCCTACTCCACCGGCGCGCTCGTCAGGGAGATGTCCTCGGGCCTCGTGCGCCTCGCGCTCGAGTGCGAGAAGACGCCGCTCGCCGCCGGTACGTACTCCTACACTGTGTCACACCGACTGACGTGACACGTAGACACAAAACATGCACGGCGCCAAATGATTTGACTCCATCTCTGCACCGGGAAGGGTTTATCATTGACACAAAAAAAAAAAATGGGATACATGCAGGGGAGAAGCGGCGGGGGTTGCTGGAGGAGCCAACGTGGCGCGCATACTGCAACGGTCGCAAGTGCGGGTTCGCGGTGCGCCGGGAGTGCGGCGCGGACGAGTGGAGGGTGCTCGGCGCGGTCGAGCCGGTGTCCGTGGGCGCCGGCGTGCTCCCGGACGACGTCGCCGGCGCCGGCGCCGGAGCAGCGGAGGGCGACCTGATGTACATGCGGGCAAGGTTCGAGCGTGTGGTGGGTTCCAGGGACTCGGAGGCGTTCTACATGATGAACCCCGACGGCAGCGGCGGCCCTGAGCTCAGCATCTACCTTCTACGAGAGTCTGACCGGCACCGGCGGGCTGGTGGACATGGCTGAAGAAAAGGCTTCAGCTTTGCAATTGCATTCCATCTTTGTATGTAGTGCACTCATGCATGCATAGTCTGGTTGGGCTTTTCTTAAGTTGTGTTTCATGTAATTTGGAGAATGGGATGGATGGCTTGGCAAAGGTGTATGTACAATATTACTGATCACTTACATGGTTATTAAGGTTAATTTCTCCAGTTTGGGAAATCTTTCTCTTAGATCTGTGTGATAAAATGGCTTGGAAAACTGGAAACCTTCTCATTTTTGTTTGAAAGAATCGTAGAATAATATCAGTGACTCCGCTGCATGATAAGATGCTAACGAGAACGTGATGGTGCAGTGTAAGCTCTTGACGCGTTAATTGTTCAACAGGAATTATACTGTCAACTACTGTATGCCATAAAGTGTGATGCGACTGGTTCCTTAAATTTTGTTGTATCTATTGTTCCAAACAAGAGAGATTTATGGAATCTGGTACCATAGTACTGTTACATTATACAAGTTGCACAGGCTGAGTCGGATTCAATTCCTTATTAAATCTTATATACATTCTCTATAAAGATAAGTGCCCTGAGTCGGATTCAATTCCTTATTAAATCTTATATACATTCTCTATAATCTTGTACCACTTTGCTCTGTTCGTTTAGCTGATAAACCATGGTTGAAAGTACTGTTGACTGATTTGTTGTGAGAGAAAAATACTATTTGTTGACTAAAAAAGTACAGCTTATAAGCCAAGCGAATAGAGCGAAAAAACTCTGAACTTTCACTGTATCTCTTCTTTTTTTCCTGTCCATTTCTTTTCTTTTCTTTTTGACTAAAGCTAATAATTACTCTTCAATATTGCTCCAATACTATAATACTACCAAAACCAGAGTGGATATATCCGTTCCTGGTGTGGGCGCAGCCAGCGGTGCATAAATTTTGTTTATTGCATCTCTGAAGAACAACTAGCTATATTCTTTCTGAAATTTATTTTTGATGTACGAAACCTGAGGCATGGGGACCTTTAATTAGTGGATTCCTATTCCTGAATCATGACCGGTAGGCAAGGTATATTCCTTTCCTTTGTCATTGTTAAGTTACACTACAGTAGTCCTTTATCATCATCAGACTTCACTAAGTAGAACCAATGCTGATCAGAACGGCTTAATCTGGCTCGAGAGAAATTACACAATGATACCTGCAAATAATTTGGCAGGTAGCAAAGCTCTGTACCAGCTGAACTGCATTTCTTATTTTGCGCGAAAAGCTGAAATGCAATATTTTATACAACTATTCAAGTCCATGGCCCTCTTGGTCTATTTTAATTGAAAGACAAAAGGACTATATGGGGCCATAGCTAGGCATAACTGAAAGGGTCCTTTACATTTTACAAATCCCAAGTAATTCCTCCACTTATTCCTCATCATTAGGGCTTAACAATGGAAGCACCCTTTTGCTCTCCTTTTTCATCCGTGCCGTTGCCGGGGTGGGGTGGGCGAGGCGAGAAAGCAAGCAGGGGGGCAGGTGGGCCCCACCCGCACCCTCCGGGGCCCGGGCAAGGAAAGGAAAAAAAGAGGCGGTGGGTGGGCCAGGGCGAGTGCGTGGCGATGGCATGGCCCAACGAATGGAATGTCCATGAGGAAGTTGTGCCCAGGTTTGTTGGGCCACGGAGAGACCAGTTGGATCTTTAAACCCGCTACTAGCCCTACTACTACGCCTGGAAAGAGGAAAGCTTTTAAAGCCCAAGCGACTATTGCGTTTGCTTAAACCAGGCGCCAACGGCCGAGATATTCCCGCGCACGCATCATTGCGTCGCAGCGCGTAAAGCTGCCCGCTTGCACGCCTGCTTCGTTTTTGCCCGCCTGCGTGGGCCCCGCCTGTCATGTCTTGTTGCGCCGGAATGGAGTGCATGGGGGCGCTGATGAGCTGGGGGATGATGGGTGAGCCGATGATGGACGAGTGACGGCGACGGCGACGACGACCGCACGCATGCGCGGCTGTCGGATTCAGAAACGGGGGTGATTTGGATTCAGTTAGGGCTCGTTCGGTTATGGACCCAGATTGATTCCAGCTAACGAAAGCTTATATAAATTAAGTAACAGTTTCGATCAGGATTTCTTCCAGGAGGTCGTTCTGGAAACTGGGAAAGTGAACGGGATATACACCATGTTCGCTTATGCTCAAATTTTGCTTATGCTATATGCTGAAATATTTTGAGAGGAAAACACTGTTCGTCGGCTCCGTTTGGCTTACCCAGAAACCGGCTTGTTCGATTTCTTTTTTTAGTTAGAACAATATTTTTCTCTCACAACAATTCAGCCAGAACAGTATTTTTCAGCCAGTTTCAACCAAAATTCATCAAGCCAAACGGGGCCATAGTTCAAGTTTAAACTAAACACTCACAGGCTCCTATGTGTACAAGTCAGCAACTGGCTACTAATTCAAAACGGGCTGAATGCTCGCATAGGCTTAAGCCCCGTTCATTTCGCTGAAAAAACAAACCGAAACACTGTTCCGGCTGATTTATTATGTGAGAAAAATACTATTACGATTAAAAAAATAAGTTGAAAAAGACAGATGAGAAACGAACAGGCCATAATGTCATGACCGACAGACTTCAAATCAGGGTAGGCCTGGCGTCGCCGCCTACTCCAGGCCCAGAGACAAGTGCTAGCAGTAGCCACTAAATAATCACACGACCATCAAGGTACAGGTACTTCCTTTTCACAAGTGGAATTCTGCACATGCAACAACATTATACCTCGCCGTCCAATCCTTTGACCTCACATTCCACGGGGGACAAAAAAAGAAGCGGTAATATTCCGTTATTATTCTTCCCACTCGGTTTCATGGCCTCTATCTGTCGTCACAATTCACTTTGTGCTCTGGAGTACCCCTCGGTCCTACAATACCTGTCGTTCTTCTTCCCGAAAAATGACTTTAACTAATTTTATATAAAAATATTAATATTTATGGTACATTATTAATATCATTACTCCTTTCGTTCAGAAAAGAATGCAATTCTAGCATAGTAATATGGTTTAGTATCTTAAGTTCGATCAATTAGAGATTAAAAGGTATCAATATGTATGGTATGAAATAAATATCATTAGATTAATTATGAAATATATTTTTATAATAAATTATTTTGGAGCCATAGATGTGAATAGTATTCACTAAAAAATTGGTTAAACGCAAACTACTTTTGGTGGCACGCAACACGTAGTTGTATTCTTTTTCGGACGAAGGGAGTAGATAGATCGTTGAATTTATTTTCATAATAAATTTATTTAGATATACAAATATTGCACGTATTTTTTCTACAAATCTAGTCAAACTTATGACACGGAAACCCAAAACGATAATTAATTTGGGATGGATTGCTCTAATATCTTCCGTAATACTCCTCGAGTTGGACCTGCCATGCCATTGTGCCGTAAAGAACTCAACGGAGTGTCCAGTGGTACATGCCTACACGGTACGTATATCCAATCATCAGATGCTCCTCTAGTTGGGCCTTGTTTAGATTGCAAATTTTTGTAATCTGGACACTGTAGCACGTTTCGTTTGTATTTGACAAACTTTGTTCGATCATATACTAACTAGGCTCAAAAGATTCGTCTCGTGATTTACAACCAAACTGTGTAATTAGTTTTTTTTACTTATATTTAATGCTTTATATATACGTCTAAAAATTGATGTGATAGAGAGAGATTGAAAAAACTTGGAATTTGAAGACAATCTAAACAAGACCTTGCAAGGATATCAGTACTGGTTGATTTTTTTTTAGCAACTCTGCTATTCAGAAAAAGGTCTGGCGGTTCAGAGTTTCAGAGAATGTGTAGGCCGGCAGGCGGCAGAAGAGGCCTGAATGATTAGCATCGGTACCTTTTGGTGCAAGTGGTATCGACAAGACGACAAGTATGGCACTGTCAGTATTCAGAAAAAAGTAGTATAGAATTCAGCTGCTCTTCCTACAGGCTTGTGCACGAGTGTGTGCGCAACTCAGTCCTTGGATCAAGGACCGCCTTGGAATGTGCAGCATCGTCACTCTCTCCCTCTTCTTATCCATAGTTTCGAATGATACAGTGTGTATATATAATCAACCAAAGCATATTCGTCTTTCGTGGTGGAAGCTCACAAGCGAAGCCACTAATTCGCCGTATGTACAGGTAGATTACTCATTACTTGTAGTGTCATCTTTTGAACATCATTGTGGATTCATTGCAGGTTTGCAACATGTCTAGCACTATCATCGCTCTCTTCAAGGCCGACGATAGCCATTGCTCACTGGACTAGTGGAGAACGACGGCGACGACAATGACGCGCAAGTCGAAATGGAGCGTGAACAAGGGACGACCATGGATGGAGTTCTTGGCTGCACACCCACGTTTCCCATGGCGACCAACCTCTCACAAGAGAGCCGTGGATGGAGGCTTGGAGCGTGAACAAGGGATGTTTCCTCCTCATGCACCACGACAACAGAAGGAGCAGAGAAAATGTTTCGTTTGAACTATTAGTCTAGCTTATCACGTATGAAATAGTGTTTTTCTCTCATAACAAATTAACTTCAGCTAACTTATCATCCACAGAAATCATCAGCCGAACACCTCTAAGCCATCAGTCTTGTCTTCGCGTTGTGCTTGATTGCTTCTTTGATGTCGGGGTTCATGGATGAACCGATGGACAGCTAACGTGTAGTCACCTGGACAGACCACAGATCTGACTCCAGCTTTGCTCCTGAAACCATGCGCGGCATTTCGCTTGTGGCCGTGGGCCTAGTATTGTCGTTTGCAGGTTTCGTGGTAAATTCCGTCCGCACCACCTGTGTTTCCGAGTTACTCTCTTTTTCTTTTTTTATTGAGGATTTTCGGGGCAAAAGCGTCAGGTCTGAGGGAGTCCGGATTTGGTTAGTACGTGTTTGGTTAAATGGGACTACTGACTGTCCCTTTTTTAGCCTCAATTAGTCTAGATAGAGAGACTGTTAGAGGGACTAAAGTGGGTTTGAGCTGTAGTCCCTTGAGGGG